TTTTGAACATTTTCTAAAATAACTTAAAGTGTATGCAGTGATATTATTTTTTAAGTTTTAGTTTGTGTAATGTAAATTGTAAGGAACCGTTTAGTAATATATTCTAACTTTTTATAAGTATGATAAATCATAATAGAATAAGAATACCATGCAATCCAATTGAAATTAATCAAGAAAGATCAGAATTGGCTATAACTAAATGTAACGGTTAACGTATCCTCGAAAATGTATGGTCAAAAAAGTTGAACCAATAATCCTACACGCTTTTCTTCATTTGAAAAATTCATATTTACAATTTTTGCTTATTTTAATTTACGTTTGGATGTGGCAGTTTCACTTTTCTGAGAGCAAAGACGATTAAACTTGTTTCCATGGCTAACTAAGTGAAATTGTTTAAACATTATAGGAATTGACTATAACTCAGTAATTTTTCGAAGAAAACATATTTTAGCTTATATCGCCGAAAAGCTTAAAAAATGGCGTTTTTTATGAAGTCATGGCAAACTATGGTTTCCATTTAAAAAAACATATGTTTGTGTCATATGTCAAAAATGACAGGCTTTAAAAGAAAACGGAGGGCACAGTCTCATTAAGGATGTGATTATCTACAACTTTTATCTGAAAACTTTTTGTCTAAAACAGCTTATTATATATATATATATATATATATATATATATATATATATATATATATATATATATATATATATATATATATATATATATATATATATATATATAAGGCTATACATTATGGAGAGAGTACAAAATATAAATATCTAGGCAGTTGTTGACCGAAAACTTGGATCAATTAGCAGAAATAAAATGAATAGAAATAGCCAGAGCAACCTTTGTAAACCAACAAAAAATGTGAATATATCTAATGATTGAAGTAATTATGATAATCAATAGAGAGAAGATCCAAACCCAATGTTCCTAATAGATGATATATATATATATATATATATATATATATATATATATATATATATATATATATATATATATATATATATATATATATACACCTATGGAGAATACAAAATATAAATATCTAGGCAGTTGTTGACCGAAAACTTGGATCAATCCATGAAATAAAGCTCGAATAGAAATAGCCAGAGCAACCTTTGTAAAACTCAAAAAATGTCTCTGCAGTGGAGACATCAACTTAAGGCTTAGATTAAGAATGCTAAGGGGTTACATATTTGCAACTCTACTCTATGGTTCAGAGGCTTGGACACTTAAAAAGGCCGAAATGGAGAAGCTTGAGGCATTCGAGAGATGGTGTTATCGGCGTATGCTGAGGATTGCATGGACTGACAAGGTTACAAATGTAGAACTGCGACGCAAAATTCAGAAGGACGAAGAAGTGATTAACACCCTTAAAAAGAGAAAACTTGAGTACTTTGGACACATAATGAGCTCGAATAGAAATAGCCAGTGCAACCTTTGTAAAACTCAAAAAATATCTTACTTAAACTTAAAGTATATATATACTTTGGACACATAATGAGAGGACCTAAATATGCCCTGCTGCAGAACATAATAGAAGGAATGATAAAGGGCAGAAGGAGTCAAGGAAGAAGAAGAACATCATGGCTCAAGAATTTGAGAGAATGGTTTGGAATGACTTCAAACCAGTTATTCAGAGCAGCCGTTAACAAAGTTAGAATTGCCATGATGATTCATTAGATTCCATTAGGGGATGGAACCCGAAGAAGAAGAATAATAAATAAATAAATTATAAATATATAAACAGTTAGGATTATTTACATCAACAAAATTCACCTTTTTAAAAGCATTTAAGGGACATAAAGCGCCATTACTACTGCTTTCCCGTTCAAAATATTCTAATAAAGTTGCGATGGTTTTTTTTACGGTTATTAAGCTATTCTTATACACTTCGCACTAAAATAGATTCTAAAAAGAACAATGTTCGACTGCAAGGTCTGCTAGTAAACATTTTCAAGCTTAAAGTATCACAACACTATGTATTTAAACCAAAAACTCGTAATACTAAACCAAAGTGTCAAAACGAATGACAGTGTGAGGAAATAAATAAAAAAAATTGCGGCAACTTGACATTTTTTACAGCAGAGCTACCACCTGAATCCCCAGCGGGAAATTTAAATTCCAGTTAGTCAGCAAGGCGCCGAATATGTACGTGGTTGGCAACAATGAATTTAAAAATCGCCTCCTCGATTACGTAATTAAAAGTTTAATTGATATGAAATATAGATCGTTTGTCTTTTTATGCCTTCTATTTGGTGGGCTGGCACCCAGAGTAAGAGGATTTTATTTTCTTTGCCTAATTTGTTTAACTTTTCTAGGCACTCTGTGGCACAACTTTGAATTTTAAATTGTAATAATGCAATAGTTTTTTTTTGTATATTATACAGATATTCCTTGACATCGGATATTTCATATATTTAAAACATTTTTATAATTAGAAATTTTTATGTAGAAATATTTTCTTATATTTTGATTATTTATTTATTTTAGCTGTAAAGTAATACTTTCCACAAAAAACCGAAAGTGTGTCAATGTGCCTTCCTGCACTTTAACCTAGGTCGAAAAATATTTTATTTTGTACCTCATAACATGCCATTTTCCGATTTTCAATTACTCCGTACTTTAGCCGACAAGCAGCTTTATATAAACTAATATTTCCCGCAAATAAAATAGGAGCATCAGTCTGCCTTTCTTCATCTTTAACTATATAGGTTGTACCTGTTACAAGTTTGCGTCCCCATTAGGGGTTCTTTGAAGTCAAATCTCTCCATTAACTTCAAGCTTTCATATGCGGTCCTCTGTGTTATACAATATACTATACCCATAAGATGCAACAAGTTAGCGTGGCCTATTTATTAAAAGGCCTAAGAGTTTGGGTTCACTAACCGTATTTCTGCTGCCTATATTTACAATAATTGAATCTGAAGGATAAAAGAAAATATTTTTATTTCGCTTAGACCGAATTCTGAATTTTCTACTAAGTTTAAATGTTAGTTTATGCTGAGATATTGGTTGAGGAATTTTTTGAGTGATCTTGAACTGAAAATATTTACACTTATTTAAGACTCATCCTGTATAATCAATTAGCTACAAATACTCCTCGCCGATTAGTGTGAGTATATAACATAAACATGTATGACAATTTAAACTTGTCAAATAAATAAATAATAATAAATCTGTTTTGTCGGATCTACTCTGAAAATATAGATTTTTTCGAGTCATTCCTTGTCTAATATAAACCTTACAATAGTACGGGAGACTGTTTTAAAATTCAGAAAGAAAAATGGAATAATGTATAAGAGAAATTTCACAGCCTTTTTCGGAGAGGATTCTTTGTTTTTGAGCATATTTAAAATTCCAATATATCTGTTCACACTTGTGTTTATATTTAAGGAATTCTCCGTGTTTTTCATAATATAAAATATATAATTTTCATGGTAGGAAAAAATAGAAAGAAATATTTATAACGTATTCAATAATTATTTTTGGTCACTTCCTCTTTCACCGGAAATGACTACAAGTTTTGATTTTTAAATGACACCTTCGGTATTTTTTTTTTCTTTATTCGATAGAAAATGTCACTATGAACAGAATGATATATTATATGTCAAATTTTGACATTTTTGCATATGGTTTATTTAAAATTGTAATATGCGGTTCATAACGACAATTTGATTCGGAATACCAAGTATGTGGTACCAAATTATTGATAAAAAATGTGTTTTCCAAATATGCTAATGAGCCACCTTGGTTCCATTTGAAAAAGTTGAGATATGATTAAAAATACGATTAGGGCATCTTTTAACCGGCCCTGGCAAGACACGAAAAACGTTAGATGCTCCCAAGGACTGTATATTCTAGTCGTAGTCGCCGTGGAATGCTATGTCACGCGCTGACCAGCGCCCACAGTGCGGCGGATGGTTACTCTAGCGGGACAAAATCTCAAGAGCAATGTTTGGGACTTAAAATCTAAGAACGTAGCAAATGGTCTAATATATAGCAACTATATAGTTAAATTTATTTATTTATTAACAACTTAATTTATTAATAAATAAATACAAGATAATAAAACTATGATAATATTCGTACATGACACACAAAAACCGTATTGTAAACTATTGCCAAATACATAAAGATTTGATATCATTCAATATATCGATATTTGAAAAAAAAGTGAAAGTTTGATATCTGCAGAACAAAGGCACGAAGGATTTTAACAAATAATATACGTACAGTAGAAAAATACATACCTTTGGCAATCTTCAACATAATTTGGCTATAAGCACTTGTAAATATTTCGTTTTCGTATGATCTCTGCCTTGCTGAGCAGAAAACGACCAAATTTGGTTGATAAAAATGTATCGAAATACAAAGAATATTCATGCATTTTTCTATCAATTGGAATGTTTACTATTTATTCTTATCAGTACACATTTTGGCTTATTTCTAACCAAACGCTTTTGTCCCGCTAAATTTATCTTCCAACGAACTGTGCGTTCGTCCGTTAAATGCAAAAATAACTGTCACTGTATAAAATCTTTAGCGCCAACTTTAACTCGGTCAGTAGATGATATAAAAAAACTGACAGTGCAGGAAGATAGGAATCGAACTATCCTTATCTCTATAGTATCCTTGAGACGCTCCAGTCTATTTTTCCAAGACTCCTTGATTAAAAATTAGTGTTTTTAACACAGCTATGGCATCAACATGGCATTAATATTTAAAAAACGATTTTTTTAAGCGAAAATGTCAAAAGTTGACAAGAGTGTCATATACTAAAATTCCAAATCTCGTTTTTTTACTGAAAAAAATAAAAAAGTTATGGTTGAGCCGCTTTTGTGAAACACCCGGTATGTAGATAATATTGAAGAGATTTTTTCGCCAAATTAGAAATGTTATTCTAGAAAAAGTAAAACGGCAATTATTTCCAGTTTTTTTTCCGCTCTTAGTTACTGAGATTGGGTCTAAACCTCCTTGTTTCTTTGCAGTTCCAGCAAAAGAATTAAGAGACAGAGATCACAGAACCATGAGGGTGAACCTAAGGGTAGGAAAACGTTTTGGGGAGTCTGGATACGACGAGGATGAAGGTAAGATCCAGAGGGGTAATTATGTGTTTTAGCACAATATAGACAAAATTACGGGCCTTACTTTCCTTTAATTCCTGCATGACAAGTACTTTTTATTTTCTCATTTTATTTATTTCGTTGGACATTTCTTTTTTTACTTTGAGTAAAGTTTTGAGTCTAGCCTCCCCCCTTTCCCGAATCCTGGATCCGCCACTGGTTGAATAGGCTGTGATTTAGACCTTTATTGACATGTGTAGAAAAAATAGTGTAAAATTACGTGCTAAGATACGCCCTAAAGTTAAGAATTATTTTTTCTTTTCTTTTAATACACTTTTAGATAGATGTTAAGTTGTATTTCTAACTGAATTTTGAACTAAAGCCCCTAGGAGACGAATGCTTCCTAGACTTCGAACAGGCAAACGATTTTACCACACTGAACACCTTACACCCACTACACTGCCACAGAACACTGATACAGACTTTGATAAAACGCCATTGGAGTTAATCAAAGGTAATTAATATATCGCGAGATATAGACAAATACACGACCAGATTTTGTTTTGGCAATACATGCGTGGTATCGATTAAAAACGACATCATGGTAGGTGTAGAAATTTTAATTCACAGTCATGTCACATGTCATGTAGTGGTTTTCAAACCACATCTTTTATGATTTATTAAAATCTATCATGTAATTCTTGTTATAAACGTTATATCTAAATCGAAATTTCCGAGAAAAAAAAAACATTTTCCTGATATTTTATATCTAAATATTTATTTCAATATAAATTATTTTATTTTTATTTAAAGGTGTATCCAGGGTTGTCCGAACTGTTTTTGAGAAACTTCGCCAGCATATTCAGATAAAAATAAGTAAAAAAGTTTGTATAAATGTATGTCCTAAAATGCTTAGTTTCTGAGATACAGAGTGTAGAAGTTTCATTTTTATATCGATTTTTTCCTAATAATTTCTGAAGTAACGTCAATATTTGGATGAAAATTGAGTTTTTTGACATGAGAAATTTGATTTTGATGTCAATATGACTCCTAATTATAGAGGGCGCCACCTACATATTTTTTAACTGGTTTGAAGAGTAATAACTTTTCTTCCGTATTTGTATAAAACTACTGAGTATATTTATGACGTTTTTTATGTAAAAAAGGTCTCTTGGTAAAAATCGCTACGAGTAATGGTTCTCGAGATATTTGGAATCGAAATTATCAATACCTGTTAGCTGACATAAATTAAACATGTTGACTGAATAGTTATTAGACTGAAATCATAAATTTGAAATGTTTTTTGTGTCAAAAGTTGAACAGAAACCGTTTTATTATGATTAATTTTAAAAAATAAAAAGTTCCCAAATTTATCATTGCAGTCAAATAACTATCAACTCAACCTGTTTATTTTTGCCAATAACGACATGTCTTGACTATTTCCATTCTAAATATCTTGAAAATGGTTACTCCTAGCGATTTTTACCAAGAGACATTTTTTACGTAAAAATCACGGAAATGTATATTTTTGCACCCAGTAGTTTTATACAGGTACGGACGAAAAGTTATTACTCTTCAAAACAGTTAAAACACATGTAGGTGGCGCCCCCTACAAATAGGAGTCATATTGACATCAAAATAAAATTTATCATTCCAAGATACTTCCAGACATCAATTTTTATTCAAATATTGACGTTGCTTCAGAAATTATTTGGAAAAAATCGAAATAAAAATTAAACTTCTGCACCCTGTATCTCCGAAACTAAGCATTTTAGGACCTATATTTATACGAACTTTTTTACTTATTTTTATCTGCAGAATATGCAGCCGAAGTTTTCGGAATACAGTTCGGACCACCCTGTATATGTCATGCTTTATCGGGCCTTATGTGGCGATATAAAATCTAGATATGTCGTGGCCATACGATGATTTGAAAAGAAATTTTAATTTTTTAGTGATAAATAAACGAGAAATTCACAACCCCAAAAGAAGACTGAGATTAGTGGTACGACCGGGCAAGAGATCGTTCGAGAACCAAGATCCGTTGCAATATTACAATGATCGCAGGGATGAAAATATGCAAGGTACATCTTTTATTTACGTAGCCAGGTATCACTGAACCACTCTCTTAGAATGGCACTTTCTTTAACTCTTCAGGAGCACTTTCCTTCTTCTTTCCATATCTTTACTAATAGTAGAAACGCGAAAGCTTGTTTGGTTAGGTCTTGCACTGTCGGTTCTTGGTCTTGCAGGTCCAACGCTGGTCTTGGTCTCAGCCTCAGCCAACCTTCATCATGTAAATAACGATCCAAGACTTTGTTGCCAAGCCTGTATGGGCCCTTTTTAATATCTCCGAACATATATTCGCATCACACATCTATTCTTATACACAAACAAAATATATTTTGTCCACGACCAGTTAATAATAAATCAATATTCTACTTCCTAGCTGAAGGAATATGATGCCCATATTTGTCATAGAGTGAAATATAACAGCTGATAACAGTGAATTATGATAAATCACACTTTGCATTTACTCTTTCATTTACTTTACATTTGTTGCTATGCCAACGTGACAATCACAACATCCCGATGCGCGGCGTGATGCGCGGCGTGGGTGATTTGACGTTTTTCTTATCTTTTTTTTAATTAATTTTGACGTTTAAAATTGTCAAATGTTAAGTAGGTAGTGATTATTAAGTGGCATATCAAGAACTCGTTTAATATCAAAAAATGAATTATGCGTGTGATAATGAGCCCTGTACACCACCAGAGCAGAGACGAGACCCACATATCAGAGGCGGTCAAATTAGCAAGTCTTGGATTGCTACCACAAAAGTCTAAGGAACATTACATGTCTGCCTATAAAAACTTTCTAGACTGGGGGATTGCTAAAGGCATAAATCAAAGAATATACCTAGCTAGAAAAAGAACGGACTCTGCCATACTGAAAAATGGTCCTACAGAAGTGGCGCCATCTATTGAGTAGGGCTTGTTTAAAATGGATCGAAGCGCGGGCTTTTTAAATGAGCGTATTTATTGAATTTTGCTCTAAAATAATTAAATTGGTTTTTAAATCTTACTTTTTACACAAATTCAACAATACTAATAACAAGTATCGTTGTGATGTGTAAAAAATAAGATTTAACAGTATAATTTATACAATTATTAAATAAAATTAAAGCCAAACATGTGTAAATATTATTTATTATTTAAAGTTTTTATTTATATGTCAAATATTTAAACATCGTTTATTATAATAAAACAAGACCAACGTAATACGCCCAAAGTTTTGTAAATGGAGTAAATATAAATAGGTACTTAAATGATTGTTTTATTATTGTAGTATAATTTATCTACTATTCGATATTATATCTAAAACCGTAACAGTATGTTTAATAGATCACTTTAGTTTTGAGAGTTTTTTTAAGAAACTTCAACATTTTTCATGTCGTCGGTCTACAAGCAAAACATACTAAGTCCAAAACATTATAACTTTTAATGCATTTGAATGCACTGAGCTAACGCTATTAAGGATTTTAATGGGTATTAACTAGCCACATTTAACTAGCCAAATGCTATAAATATGTCAAAAATGAAAAATCAAACTTACTGTATTCTACTTGTGGGCCGACGATACCAATTTTCATGAACAGAGTAAATATTACCATGTAGGTACCATTTTTTTTAGATATAAAGAGGTCAACAGAATTCTTGTTGCGTCCCAGGGTAGGCAAGTTGGATAAAAACTTTCAAATGAGATCAGTGGACAAGAGAAATGACCCTAAAGCGACTGACTTGTGGTTTGGTCCACGAATAGGAAGATCTAGTGACGAAACATTCGAAGGCATACCATGGAATTACGTTATTTTCAATGGTAAGCAGATCAAAATAAAACAATAATTCACCCAGTACAAACACTTTACTTTTAACATTGAACGATTCTCCTGTCCGAAAAAGTAGCAAAATAAGCGTTCGGCATTTAACGTTTTATGTAAAACTGACTAGGTATTTTTACACAAATGAAGAAGGAAATTAAAGATAAAGGATTATACTCTATCCGTATTGTAGCACATTTTAGACAACTTTTTTATTTTTAAGATTTTGATGGTCAAACATCAACAAAATATTCCTTACGTTTGGACTAAATTTTCTCGAAAATAAAGACATAATTTATAATTTCGTTACAATACGGAAATAGATTGACGGTTTGTGATTACAGTGATATATAATTTATATGGTTTTGTAAAAAATTGCTCGCTATTTTATGGCAAATGCCCAAGCTCTGCAAACCTTAATCAAGGCACGTGTGTTTGGAATTTTGCGTGTGGCTTAACAAGACAAGATCGGGCTAAGCTTTAGGCAGATTTCTTAAATATAATATATATTTCCATCGGCCACACACCCGCTTTACCCGTCCCCTGAGAGCGACCCGAACAGTACAGCGTAATAGACTCTTAAGTCGAGTTCATACGCATCTGCTTCCGTGTATCGCTCCGTCACTCCAATCATGTTGAAATGTGATCTGTCATTTTTTTAAATAAACCAATAAGACTAAATAAAAACAACGAGAGACGACGCATGACGGATTTATATATAAATCCCTTTGAATAAGAAGACTAAGGACTAAGACTAAGGACTTTAACAAATATCTTTATGAACGAAAAAAATCCACCACTAGCAACTGCCGCTATTGCCAGAAAGAAGATGATGTAAAGCATACAATGTTCGAATGCCCAAACTGGTCCATAGCAAGAGAAACCTATCTTCAAAAAACAGGCATGTTATTTACAGCAGAAAACATGATGAGGAGCCTAATAGAGTCCAAAGAAGGATGGAACCACGCATATATGGCAATTAGAACAATTATGGCGACAAAAGAAAGTGATCATAGATCACATGTATGAGAGAGGAAAAAGGAACAGACATAGAAACTACAAGTAGAATGAGAACCTAGAACGCTCTGCCAAGAGCTGAGAGAAACATCCAGCATATCGTTTTCGAAGTAATGCGAAAGCGGTTTCCGAATCGATTTGCTGTGGAACAGAGGGGGAAGGTTTTAGTCGGTCGGTAGTACCAATCCGACACTGTCTGGGCACACAACAGCGCGCAAGCAGCCCATTCGTCTGATAAGCAGATTCCTAATCCCTGCTTTAAAAAAAAAGAAGACTAAGGAAGGAGTAGTGTCAGTGTTAATTTAAGTTCTGCCACAATTTCCATCTAGATTTACTACCTTTATACAACTATCAGTAGTAGAATAAATAATAAATAACATAAAGTAAGCTCCGTAAAGACTGACAAATCCATAAAATTTCAAATCAAATTCAAATGTGTCAAATGAATCGTCAAACAGAACTGTCAAGGATCCCCACCCTAGAGTGCTTTTTCCGCCCACCATGCATGAATACATGGATAGCATTATGCTCCTTCCTTAGTCTTCTTATTCAAAGATAAATCCATAAACCCATCAGTGTGGACGTCATCTGCATTTTTCTGTCATCGTTTGTATTAAGAAAGCCTCTTTTCTTTTTCTTTTAGAGGCTATCGCTTCTTTCATAATCATTTTTGCATTGTTAGAATTTAGAATTTAGAATAAGTGGGAGGGGGGTTAATCTCTGCGACCTTAGGGATCTATTGTGTCCCCCTTTCTTGAGTTATAACTCATCATACAGTCCCAGGACTTCCTACGGAGACCCGTGTCCTTCACAGTCGAGGAGCTACGACCCAGGCCGGGTAGACGAAACGGTAGCTTGTGTCGCCTGTTGGGTTTAGAGGTAGGAGGTAGGCTCCCGACCCTTGGAGGAGGTGGTAACTTGTATGCCACTTGCAGAGGATGGTGTCACGCAAGTGTCAGCCACCTCTCCTGTAGTTCTCTTTGGGTTTGGCCCCTTGGAACTTTCATTGTTACTGTTCCCAGTGTTGCTAGGGGGTTTCCACACAGCTTCACCGGTGATGTTTTTATTACTATTATTACCAGATCTCATAGTGTTCCCATGAGTCGCTAGGGACAGTCGGTCCACTTCTACCGAGCCCCGCATGTAGAAGTAAGGGGTAAAATACAATGGGGTGTCCCAAGGTTGAGGCTGTCCGTAGCCCCGCCCGGTATCGTTATATGTCTTGGTGCAATTCCCTGGCCACGACACTACAGTCAGGGACAAGACGATGAGTGAGATGCTTTTTAGACCAAGCCAAGTGCTAGGGGGGATTCCCCCCAGCACCTGACCAGGAGCTTCCCCACCAACGACAAGGTCTTGCATCTCCTAGGGGAAGTTTTTGCATTGTTAAAATCTACTCTGTGCCCTGTGTCCCATGAATGCTGACAAATCTTAGATTTGTGAAAATCGCTCTTTCTTAAATAATCTTTAAGTTCTTTAATTCGAACATTTAAAGGTCTAGATGTTTCACCAATATAACATTTATCACATTCACGTGGTATTTTGTATATTACATTTTTTGTTTGTTGTCCAGTGTTCATTGGTTGCAGGTTGCGTTTTGTGTTTTGAAAGATGTTCGTATGTAATATATTGTTTTCCTATCCTTATTTTTTCCGAAACGCCTCGTATGTACGGAATTATAAGTTGTATATATTGTATATTGTTATCATTGTGAAAAAATGTGTAAAATTTGTTATTAAAATAACAAATAACATATGCTCAGGCGTAGTTAGAAGTATAATAGCGAATGAGAGACTTAGAGAGACCCATAACATATCATTAGGAGCGCGACAAACTGTATTCACAGCGGTTAATATTTTCCTACCACCTTGTACTGTTTACCACTAAGGGTGGCTGCAACGACGCCCCGTAATCTTGCTGTTAAAATATAACAGCTGGTTTTTATAATATAAAAAACAATTGTTTTATTTTAACAGCAGGATTACGGGAGGTCGTTGCAGCCATCCTAAATGTAATAATTTAAATAAGGAGAACATAAAAGCTTTTATATTTAACAGCATTATATATATTTAATTATTCTAATCTACTAATATAATTTCCAAATCTAAGTGTCCAAAAGGGTTCGTATTTTTGTTTTTTACATGCATTTCAGAAACAGTAAATACTCTTTTTCATATAATTATAATGTGTAACATAATGAAGAGTTAAGGGTATTTGTTTATTGTTTGTATATATTAACCGGTTAAAAATTTACATTTTTACAGTATGTATTTGTAATATTTCTAGTAGAGTTTTTTTAGAGTAAGTTTTTATCTCGCATAAAAACTTACTCTAAAAAAACTGTATGCTTCCTTGTATCTGAAACAACATATTTTGAAACTTTACTACACAATTTATTTGTAATTTAAAAAAATGATAAATTAAAACGTATTTCTTTTTTGTATGTAGACAATTTTGCTAGATTTATTTAGTATGTTGTATGCTGACAATAACATTTTAAATTCTAACAAAATACATAGAAGTAGAGAGATCAATGAGAGTCTCAAGAATAATCTAATAATAAATATATTTATTATAGAACAGATTTAGAATTTAACACACCAAGGTACTGTTAAAATTAATACATAGATAAAGAGATAGGAAATATTCTCTTTATTGCTATACATAAACATTTTAATTAGGTATGTCTGATAATATCGATAATAAAAAAATCGACCTTAAACCATATCCGTTCCGTATTTTTTATTGTATTGACGCTATACGTAAGTTTCCGTTCCGTATCAGTTCCATACTTTTTATTGTACAATTTATATCATTACGAAAGTTTTATCTTAAAAATTTGTATGCTTTGAAAAAGGTAATAGATTTAATTAAGAGGTGAAAGTATACATAAATATCAGCAAAATTCTAGCAGAGCTGGTACAAATGTAAGAACTTGACAACGCTGTTTCCGATACGCTTCAGTCCGTCCGCCAAAAAAATGTATGGAAGGAAAGGATATGGAACGGAAGGGAAACGGAACGGATAGCGTGTATTGTCCTATTCATTTACATGATATAATATTTTATGTTGCGATGGGAACTATCGAATGAATTAAACTATCGAATGGTTACTGAATGAATGATTTCAACTATCGAATGGTTTTATTCGAATAAAATCATTCATTCATTTGTATACTAAAGCATATGTGACACCCTCGCCGTGCGACTAAATGGTTATCGTTGAGCCACGACTATCGAATGCTTTTGATAAATGAAATTTAGTATTCGTTTGATTTTTGTGTGCGTCAGTGCATTATTAGTTCTCCAAATTTTTATAATTTCACCTTATAAATACTGTGCTATAAAATATTTAAAATACTAAAATAGTAGTTTTTTTTTAATTGACGATTGTGTGCGTGTGCAGGTGCCAAAATTTTTCCGAAAATTTGTGTGATTTTCCGTAGCCCGATCTTTCAGTTATTTTATTTTATATGGTATATCTATATGGTCTATTTTTAATGGGAAATTTTGAGAAGTAGCAATTTTTAAGAGAGATGAGATGAACTTAGAATTAATTTTAAAAATACATATTTGTATTTTAGATGTTTTAATAATATGAATTAGTTGAACTTAATAATCATATTTTAGTATTAAGTGGTTAAGTAAATGGGGTTATCGAACTCAAATTATGGGGTGAGAAAATTAAATTTTTGCTACGACGTAAAATAATGTTTATATTAAATTATTTAAAATTTTGTTGTTAATAGGTATAACAAATTATTACTGTTATTATTATTTTTATTAAACCAGTCTTTGCTTAAAAACATTAAAAATCATTTTCCTACATCCAAAATAACAAGTATTATTGCAGTGTAACAACAGAATATTAATAAAAAAAAATGCAAAATATATATAGACATACTATCCCTAACTAACTAAAGCCAAACAATAATATTCTTTGCTAATATCAACTAATACCAATATATGGCAACAACGCCCTT